GCCCGAGCAGAAGCTTGACTCGAGGACAGAATGCAAGCCAAGGGGTGGGAGCTGCTGAAGCCACACAGCCACTTGCTGTTTTTAAACCATGTTACTAAGAGGAGACACCTAGTAAGCCCTGAACCAAAGCACAGAAAGGCACATTTTAATTCAGAGCTCTTGGAAGGGCAGCTTGCAACAGGAAAGGCAGGTAGTGAAGGGAAGTAAAGGGGGAAACATTATTGGAGGGAACAGGAATGTGCTGCTTTTCTGTTCAGATCCCGAAGGGTCTTTTTCTTCGAAAATAAGTATATCTTGTTTATACATGTAATACACAGTCTCCCAGACCAACAGTGGAAAAACATCAAATTAAGGAAATGAAACAAACCTTGATGCAGGGATAGGGTAGAAAGACAGAGATCATTTAGCACAAAGAAATCAGAACAGGTGAGAGTAATTTTTTATGTCTAGGTAGCTACAGTGGCAAACCTACATTTCATTAAAAGAGATCAGTCTCTGTTAGCTTACTAACTGGCACACTGGAATGAAATGCAGGGACAGGCAGAGTAGGGAGAAGGCGGCTGCCACCTGGGATTTCCGGTGAGACAAAATGAAATCAGATTATCAAATATAGGAATAAAATCCCTAAAACAAGTTTGCAACCTAGATGTTCCCTCCTCAATGCATTCTGCATGGTGAGTTACACTCACAAAACAGAGGTGTTGTTTGAAATATATATTTTCTGCAGGGGAAGGAAAAAAAACAACCTCTAACAAAACAGGATGTCACCTTGAGTAAACATATTTGTAAGGAATATCTATTTCGGAGAATCTTAGCACTTTACCCAGATGAAATGAAACATAGAATATACTGGAAATGTACTTTTTAGATGAGATCTGTTATAATTTAAGGTTTTGTTTGTTTGTTTGTTTTGTTTTGTTTTGAGATGGAGTCTCACTCTGTAGCCCAAGCTGGAGTACAGTGGTGTGTCTCACCGCAACCTCTGCCTCTGGGGCTCAAGCGATTCTCACGCCTCAGCCTCCCGAGTAGCTGGAACTACAGGCTTGTGCTACCATGCCCAGTTAATATTTTTTTGGGGGGGGATTTTAGTAGAGACAGGGTTTCACCATGTTGCCCAGAGTGGTCTTGAACTCCTGAGCTCAGGAGATCAGCCCGACTCGGCCTCCCAGAGTGCTGGGATTACAGGCATGAGCCACCGTGTCTGGCCTAATTTAAGTTTTTTTTAATGTAATGTTGAAGATGCTTCAGAAATGACTAGTCACTCTCACATGACTATACCACTGCTGCCTGAGGCACAGGTACCTTCCCCATCCTGCACACCACAACGCAACACAACTGGCACGTCGTGGGCCCTCCACAGACACCTGTGGATGAAAGTGCAGCCGTCACCAGCCCCAGGACAGCACCCTGCACACCGGCCACGTGTTCAGAGGCCAGGCTGGCAGCAGTGTGCAATGGCAGCCCGCCTGCCTCCCTGCATCCCCCTTGGCCGAGGCACCCGGCAGCAGGGCGAGCCTGGGCTAGATGTGAGTCTCCTGTACCTGTACTGCCTTCTGCACCAAGGCAGCAGAGACCACAGTGGGCTTCAGAGATCAACAATAACGTAGCCCTCAAGGTTAACTCTAGGGCAGCTGTGCCTCCTGCAGGTCAAGCACTTCCAGTGGGGGTGTAGCTACCGTCTCTTGCCTGTAGCAGACCTCTCCTTGAGCGAGACAAGCTCGGAATGAGTAGAATACAGCTAAGCAATTTCTATTCATTCCCCTTTAAGAAAAATGCTTCATGACCCCAACTTGATGGACAGCAGAGAAGACAGCTTTGGAGAAGACAGTTTTTGAGTATTAAATATCCGGACTGGTTAGGATATTAGACAAGCCACCCCATGTGTGCTGGCTGGCCCCAAAAAAACAACTTTCTCCTTGACACCACACTGGGTTCACCTCTGTGTCAAGACACTGTGGTCCCTCGCATGTGCAGGGAAATGGCACACTGAGTCTGTAGCACTCATCTCATGAGCATATGTAACACAGAGGTGAGCTGGCCTTGGGTAGGTTATGTTCTTATAGGACTTCTGCACTGGTCATGTGCAAGCCCTGTGCCTCAAACCTGGCAGGTCAGAATTTGCAGTCACATCTCATAGAGGAAGCAGCTGATAAGGTCACAGAGCTGGTAAACAACAGAATGGCGGGATGGGAAGGCTGGTACTAGACAGAGGTGGGGACTGCATCACGTGGGGAAAGTGCTCCATGCTACTGCACGTGTCACCTTAAAATGGTTAATTCTGTTCTTTGAATTTCACCTCAATTAAATAAAAAAGTAACAGAGCAAATATGCACGAACATGATGACCAACATCAGGTGCCACGCACTGGGCCAGGCAGCAGGGTTACAGAATGCACAGGCCATGGCCCCATCCTGAAGCACTCGCCGCGTGGTGCAGTTTGCTGGTGTTGTCAGCACTCTCTCACAGCCAAAACAGCAGGGGAGGAACAAACTCTTATGGGGACAGGGAACTGAGTCAGAAGAGGCTCAGAGAACTGGGGAATGATCAAAGGTCCCCTACGTGGGTCGGCGCTGCTGACTGCATGGTGGGAACTGCAAGGAAATGCATCCGCTCAACATCGAGGATGGCCGCTGTGTGCCGGGCACTATCCTACGCCTTGTTGGGAAGCCAAGTATTCATAACTTGTTGCCCTCATGAGACTCACAAGAAAGAAGGAAGATAAAGCCAGACACTCTCTTGAAAGTCTACTGTTAAAAGGACATTGTTCCTGATGGTTTAAGCAAAAAAGTGACATGGAAATTTAGAAAGACGTGAGAACTGGATGGGAGAAGAGGTTGAAAGGAGACTAGTTAGAAAGTTTCAGCAATGGTTGAGGGACATTCGCAGATCTGGATTTGGGTGAGGACACTGGGAAGAGAGGGGAGAAACAGAAAGACTAGAGGCAGAACAGAGAAGACTAGTGGGTGGGGCTGGGGTTTCCTGGCATCATGAGATCAGAAGACCTTAATTCATGTACAGGGCACAGGACAATGCCGGGGCCTGGAGTAAGTACTTAATAACTGTTACCTGCTGTTATTCTCACACTGAGCTTCATGTTCTCATGGTGACTTCACTTTTCCATTTTTCTGGACAGTGCACCTAGGGAGCTCTGGATCCTTCTCCCCACCATTGGAAGAGAAAAGCACGAAAGGAAACTGGACCACAGGCCTGAGTGACAAAAGCAGGGCTTGTCTTTGTATTCCCTGTCTCCAGTTCAATGCAATGCAAAACACTTTCAAAATATGCAGGGAACAAGTGAATGAATAAAGAACAAATGAACAAGTCAATACAAGAACAGCAATGACCTCTGATGCCCAAGCTCTGACAAAGCTGACCTATAAAACAATTGGAGAAACAGGTTTTTAAGGAAGAGCACACAGGAGGTGGCGAAAGGTCCACATTTGCGCAAGAAGCTGAACGAGGAAATAAACCATACTGATGAAAATTCATTACGCTGAGAAGAACCAAAATATTTTCTCTTCCTGTTATCCCACAATCACTTCTCTTCAACCTGACAACTCTGTAATTAGAGACCAAGTCCTTACGCTGCTGCTTTATTTTCCAAGTGGGGTCTGTCTTTCTGCAGCTGCAGAGGCTTCCTTCCAGGGCCCCCACGCCATAGGGCACATCGACTCCTGCCTGTTAGTATGAAACCAAGATGAGGAACATGGCCAGCTTCCTTGTGCTTCACCCCCCACTCACAGATACACAGCCCTTCCCTCATACACTGGGCTCCTCAAGAATGACAGGTAAGAGCCTGAGCGAGGTGGCTCACGCCTCTAATCCCAGCACTTTGGGAGGCCAAGGCGGGCAGACTGCTTGAGGACAGGAGTTCGAGACCAGCCTGGCCAACAGGGTGAAACCCCGTCTCTACTAAAAAAAGAAAAATTAGCTGGGCGTGATGGCACACGCCTGTAATCTAAGCTACTAGGGAGGCTGAGGCACGAGAATCGCTTGAACTCAAAGAGGCAGGGGCTGCAGTGAGCTGAGATTGTGCCACTGCACTCCAGCCTGGTGACAGAGTAGGACTCCAACTCAAATAATAATAATAATGATAGGTAAGAAAAATGTATGTTTTGGCAGATTAAAAAATAACCCTTTTTCCTATTATATATCTCCTATCCAATTACCCTATATGCTAGAATATATAGTACTTCTGCTAGACTACAATATATATGCCTGAAGAATCTCAGGTTTTACAAAATTCAATACTAAAAATAATAGAGCTTTTGGGAAATTTTGGTTAGGGCATTCCACTCAATACCTAAGGAACTTCAAAACAGAATCAAAAACAGTGACTGATAACCTGGAGAGTTAATATGGTCACCAAGGCAGGTGGCTCCACAGGGCTGGTGGTTACCACAGCAGATATTACAAACATACAAAAACCGCACGAAGAAAATACAGCAATGTCCTCATTACAGAAAGACTGGCAGACACCGAGGGGGCACCGGAAGGATTATAACCCACTCTGAGCCAAGAGCCACAAGAGGCTGTGATGACAGCTCTCTGGGGAGGAGGCCTCAGAGACAGGTGATCATTGTGATTTCCTACACACACACACTGTCACAATGGCTCTGCTGAGGACTGTTTCTTGTCCTGCTCAAGGTCGTAAGTCTGCTCCTATGATTCTTGCTCTCTTTGCCTAAGAAAATGTGTACACGCCAATATAATATTTGCCTTCCACAGACATCTCGCCCCCTTTAAACACTCACAAGTGAGCTCACCTGCATCACAGAACAGGGCACAGGATTTCAGGCTGTCCTCAGTGCAACTGGTCTGAGTGGGCCATACGCCACGGTGAGGTCACCTGCTGATCCCCCAGCGAGGCAGGCCTGGCACCGCAGCAGAGGCTGGGCCACGTCAGGCTTTCCCCATCCCACACCCAGACCTTTAGCAAGACAATTCCCAGAGAAAGGTACGGCCATAGAATGAAACCACAGAAAGGTGCAAATACTTACATATAATAGGTTGGATAGAGTCCTTCAAAATACCAGCAATGCTTTTTGGCTTCCGTGCACTGCAAATAGAAGCAAGAAAAAGTTTATCAGCACTCAGGAATCTGCATGTTGCTGAGTAGCTCTCACAAAGGCAGCAAAGAAGGATGAGAGGATACAGCTTAACCCATGAAAAGCTGGGATATCGGGGCAGACAATGCATTACAGGGAGAGCCGCCCCCTTTCTCATGACTTTCTATTTCTTTAAAACATCTGTTTTTCTATTTTTTCGTAGGCTTTCATATCTCTATATACACTGAGTGTCAGCATTTTATTAAAAAGGTAAATTAAAGACAATCCACTGTTTAAAATGTACTTGGTATGATACTTCAGATTACACAAGAATGCTAGAAATAAAGCACTGCAAAGATTGCCACTGCCCCCCAATTTCTGTTTTAGAAAGACATCTCCAATAGATTTAGCATTTCCAGAGCTGTATATTTCAGAATATGCTAAAGCCGCACTCCGACCTATGTCTGCCAGATGCTATCAGTTACGGTTCACTCCCGGCCCTCTCACGAGAGTGCAGGAAGAGAAAGGAGGAACAAGGAAAGACAATGGGAGCCTCTCCTGGGCCTTCCAGGTTAAGTCCAGCTCCTAACATCCCGGAGGCAGGGCCCAGCCCCCCAGGGCAGGGCAGGGCAGCGCAGCGCAGGTGAGTGTGCACAGGCATCGGAGCAGGGGCCAGATGCCACCTGGAGGCTCTCACAAACCTCCAGCAAGTGAGGCAGGCCAGCATCCCCACTGCTTAGGGAGCTCTCTATGCAGAGATGCTCTTCCTATCTGAACAAGGCTTTTCTAAAATTATTCCATTCATGCTGTCATTTTTGTTTTAAATTCACAACTTCCTACCTCCATGATCTAGTTTATTGGCCCCCATGTGTAAATAAAACCTTCAAAACATTATGGAGCAAAGCTCCCAGCAGCAGGAACACTGGCAAAGGCACGGCAAACAAAGCTTTCTTTGGGCAAGGCAGGGCCGTTCTGCCCAAAGCGCCTCCTCCGATGGGAGGGTGGCTGGATCAGCTCCCTCTTAGCCCGTCCGCAGCCCCAGCAGGTGGACAGCAATCCCCTCCTGCCACAATTGCCCTGCAGCTGGAATGGAGTTAGAGACAGGCCCCACACCTACAGTGGCATGCCATGGGAGAGGTGAGTGCCATCGTCACGCTGGCGACATTTGATGGGTTATGAAAATGACGTGAACCCCTGAATTTTGGAGTATGTGCTTTAAGACACTCAGAAGCATACTCTGGCAGCCTGGAGTGACCTAGTTTTATTAACGGAAAATGAGTTTTATTTAGACTAGGTTAGGTCCTGTCCAGTTTAAGAAATGAAGCTCAGACAACTGACGAAATCAATTTATTTTGGCAAGGAAGAGCAATTTCAGGTCTCTGCCCCAAATTACAATTCATTTCACTAGAGTCTTCTGTGATAAACGGAGAAACCAGGCCTGCCTTCCATGTGTCACTTTAAACGGGTCTCCCTTATTCTCCATCACCACCACCGACAGTCAAACGTTTCTGGAACCTGACACTTAAGTTCCACGCAACCAAGAAGTGAGGCCAGGGAACATCAGAACTCAAGCCTGAAGAGCCCTCCCTGCCTGGGGCCTGGCTGCTCCACGGCTTCTCCTCAGAGACAGGCCACAGTCACGCAGCGAGAGCCGGGCGCACAGCTGGCACTGGAAACAAGGACAGGCTCTGGCCTCTGCAGTGGCCTTTTCTGCAATTCCTCTTGGTCTAAAGCGTTTCCAGATCCAAAGCAGTCACTTGATACTCTGGCAGCACACCTCCATCACTAACGCATTGCATTTCAGAAAGGACTTTTTCTTCCAACCAGACAAAATAATGCCACACATCTGAATGCACATTGTCTCTGGGATACAGCAATACGAGGAATACCACTTTACAAATTAAGGCACCAGAGCCCTTGGTGGGTGTCTTCTTCTGGGTCACACAGCTTCTTTGTGGTAGCAAAATAGCCCCCAGCACAGTGTCTTCTGCACTCAAGAGAGCTCCCCTGAGGAACCCACTCTGCCCACCTCCAGCAAGAACAAAGGCCTCTGAGAACTGGTGTGAGATGATCCCCAAGATATGGTGTTAGTGAAAAAGCATACGCAAAAACAAAAACATACGTCCAGTATGCCATCCTTGATGCAAAAGGAAACATGTACATTTGGCCTGCTTTATACAAAAAGACTCATAGTTTGCACACATCAAAACATCACATGTATCCCATAAATATGTACAATTATTATATACCAATAATTTTTTTTTCAAAAAAAATCACAGGAAGGATAGTGTCAAAATTGATCACAACAACTGGGTCATTCTTGTCATACCCAACTAACAGAGTCAAGGCCAGAGGGGCAAAGCACTCAGGGCACGTAGCACTGCTCCAAAAAGTTATTCTTGGCAAGCCTGGCTGCTGAAACTGCCTGCCCTGACTCTCAGACTAGCTTACCCAGCCCCATCACACACCAGAGAAGGCTTGCCAGCTCCCCAAAACTTTATTTAGTGCCAATGAACAACTCTCTTTCAAAAAATCCCTTACATTTCTCCTTTTTATAAAACTTCTAAACTTCTCTTTGTTCTTCAGACATACTGAAGACCACGCAATATATGGCCCAGACTGCAATGCTCACTTCTTAAACAAAATGTTTTAAATTTAGAGATCTGTCTCTGTAAAAACTAATGAAAATGCTTACCTGTGGGGGGTGGGTGGAGTGGAGTGGAAAAGACAGGGACAAGAGCCAAATTCATCTGAGTATATCTTTTTACATAGTTTGACTTTTGAAATGTTTTTTCATATTCAGATAATAAAGTAGAAAGTATTTTTTAAAATCACTTCTCAGCTGAAAAGATTTATAAAAGACTATTGTGACATGATCACACATGTCCCCTTTAGGCCAGGGACAACAGGGACAACTAAGCAGGGTAGATGCCCGTGAGGTCAGTGTTCACAGGAGACTCGCACAGACACGCACTCTTCTGGGGGCCCTTCTGGGTGAAGGGCATCATTTCCATCCTACTCTTCTTCCCACGTTTTTCTAGGATATTCCCTAACTTCACAGCTGCCTACTTGTTGGTTACTCTTGCTCAGTTACTTGCTAGTAACCTTTTATCGTCTCTCATTAAGCTACACAAAAAAAACATTTTGAAAAATTTAACCCCAGTTTGTTCCTTTACAAAAACTGTTCTTAAGAAAATATTAAGGCTACAAATCTTGAAACATAAAGTACCTTTAAACAGAGTTACCTTGCATTAAGCTATAGTTCCATTTTGTTGCTGTTGAAATTATTGTGTTTGAAATTTGCTAATATCCTGGAAACTGCTTCACTGTTTTTGGTAGCTGGACTTTTGTAGTAGCTTTCTCCTGAGGAATACCAACATCGTAATAATACAGACATACACTATCTCACTACAGTTAATGCAGGGCATGATTCCATTTGATGGTCAGATAATATGAAGAACGCAAAGTCACAGGTCTCATTATTCAACTGAAAAATGCCAAAATGAGGACTCAGAAGTCCTGATAAGTTGTAGTTGAGCCTTTCCTTCAACAAATGCTTGCTAACTGAACACCAGGTGTCAGAGTCAGCCTGTCCAATCCAGGAGGACGCAGCCTTGTGATGGGAATGGAGACCAGGAGGTGGAGAGGCACACGCCTGCCCGAGGAGCCCACAGTTGAGACGGGTGCTGCCAAGTCGAAGTCTGATGAGAAAGGCAGTCTCCGCCTACCAAGTCCAAACTCCAAATCCAGCATCAGCACCAGGACTCAGGACAAAGCCAGACAGCTGGAACTGTGGTCAAAGGGGAGTTTGCCAGGGACAAGTAAGAGGTATCTTCAGAGTACTCCGAACCACCAGCAGGTACGCAGATGTGGCCTCACAAGCAAGTGGGAGGAGGCAGAAAGAAGGCCCCGTGTTGGGTCACACGGAAGCACCAGAGTCATCGGGCAAAGGGGAAGCCACAGGGAAAGGAGGAGCTAAAGAACCAGAGCTCTGGGTTCTGAACCTGACTGCAACCTGCCAGTCACGCCACCAGCCAGTCTGGGTCTCAGTCTCCTCATTTGTAAGAGTATGGACTCTCTTCCCTGCTTTATGAAGAAACTGAGATTGAATGCATTGAAATGCCTGGCCAGACTAGGGCATCGTTTCCTCATCCCACACCAGCTAGCACCTCTGTCCCTAACTGTGTCTTCTCTGGAACAAACAACTTCCAAGGCTCATCTTACGTGGTCTTCTATCATCTAAGCAGAAGCAATGCTTCCAAACCTCTTGAGAACAAAGATTCTAAATATGTAATGCCTTACATGTGTACAGTATTTAGTTTTCCAAAATCTCCCTAAAAGGAACAAACCTCTCTAAAAAAAAAAAAAAAAAAAACCTTAAAATGTATGGAAACTAACGGGGGAAAAAGTGAATTTCCAGGTTTTATGCCCACTCTGGAAAAGTCAGTCTACCCATTTTGCGAAGATACTTCACCATGATTTCTTAAGGACCAACCATCTCTGGAAACAGAAATTGTGTGTGTGAGGAGAGGTCGACTGCTTTCTGTTACCTAGCAGGCATCCTCAGTGTTCAGGAAGCTGTCCTGGGCTCTGGGAAAACAGCAGCCCTGCCTGAGTGCCTGTGGGATACTCCCTCCATGTGCACAGCAGAGACAATACATAGAGCCACATGCTTCTTGAAGAGCTCATGAAAACAGTAACATACAACTTACAAACTATGAACACAGCAGAAGGTGTGGGCTCACGAGGAAACCTTCAGCAGCAACTCCCTTGATGGCATCTACGTTTCACACTGGAGAGGCCTAAAAGACGTCTCTGCTCAGGATGGACTCTGGACGCCTGTGGTTCAAGGACTAGTGTATCTATAGATGTAGTTCAGCCATCCCAAATATAGTTATCCCTATTTAGGCAGGATCTAAATAAGCCCCAGAGAATAAACCCTTGCTGATCTCCACTAGTAATCCTCATAGTAACATAAATTACTCCTCCCTGTGCACTGAGTGAGGAAGGA